ACCAGCACCAATAGCAGCAAAAGAAATTGGCAATGCTTTACGATTATTCCATACACTAAAATCATAATTCTTGAATGAACAACGTTTAAATAGAATATGTTCTTCGAAAACAACGGCAATAAAAATTGCAAGCCAATAGGAAAGAACGTCCATAAAAGTAACCAGAGATTCGTTGAATTTATCGGCGCCAACAATAGCTATGGGAATGTAAATTGCAGTGCCAACAATTGTATAGATAAATCGTGGAATACGAGAGAAAACGGGTGCTATGACTTGTGCTGAGAGTGAAAGTGAATACATATTCGGAATATTATTGGCAACGATTGAAAGAGCAAAGAGAATGAGTAGAAACTTGCCGAAACCGTGTACAGATGAGAGACTAGCACCAAGGAGACCACCGATACTGTTAGAATTGTAAGCGCTAGCCCAGGCACTATTTGTGTAGGTGCCAGTGTAAACAGCCGCACCAAGAAATTCTATAAGCATAAGTGGAATAATATTACCAAGGTAAGTGAGTGTAAAGACTTTAGTTGAACTCGTGTCCTCTGGAAAGTAGGCATTGTAATCAGCTGCGAGTGAAGTCCAACCAACAGCAAAACCAAAGATCGTTCCACCGAAACTGAGAACGTTGGCAGCTTCTATCCGTCCACTTTTCATTGCTGCTTCGCCAGAATCGGTAAAATTCTTTGCACCAACTCCGGCCATAATACAGAAAGCAATGAAAACTGGAATCCATGAATATCGTTCGTAAATGTGTATCCACTTATAACCGGCAAATGAGAGTACTAAAGTGCAAATGACAATAATAACAACACCGACAGCGATTGGGAGTGTATCATTGGAGACAACTCGAAGTATTTGTCCACCAGTTATGCAATTGACTGCGCACCATCCTATGGCAGCAATACAATTGAGAGAAGCAGTAAGACTAGCTCCATAATAACCCCAACTAAAACGGGAAAAAACCATTGTTCTTAAGCCTGAGGCAGGACCAGCACAGGCCATTGCAGCTACAGGAAGTACACCAAGTAAGTTGAAGAAGGTAACAGTTGCAAATGAATCGTACAAACCAAGATTGAATACGGCAGGACCAAGAGTACCAATGGCAAAGCATGAAATGACCGTATTTGCAGCAATCTAGAAGGATTAGTGATTAGATCATCTGTGCGAGTGACACAATACATTCTTACCCAGATCGTAGCTGTATTAATCAGCTTCGAGTCAGTACGTTCCTCGGACGTAATACGTGCTATACCACGTGCTTCTACACCAAGACTATCGAGTTTGCTGAGAATCTTTGAAAAACGAGCCCATCGTCCGGTTGACGGAACTAGTGTGCTGTCAGTTGGAGCGATGCTTGGTTCAATTGATTCATACTTCGGATNGTTTGCTGAGAATCTTTGAAAAACGAGCCCATCGTCCGGTTGACGGAACTAGTGTGCTGTCAGTTGGAGCGATGCTTGGTTCAATTGATTCATACTTCGGATAGAGTTTGGTCCACGATAGCGATGAGGAGCGTGCAGTTGCCATTTAAAAGTGCGTCATTTTAACGATAAAGTGTGATCTGCGGAATGACAGCAATAAACGTAGAAGGTAAGGTATTTATATTCACAGTGTGTGGTAGATTGTAGGACTGAAACGAGACTTTTTCATGATATGTTAACGCTTAGAAGATGAGAGTGGTTTCATACTGTGATAATTTGAAGCAGATGGTGTCGGCCAGCAGATGGTTCTGTTCTTTAACTGAATACGAATAACTCAGTATAGAATGAGTGGAAAACAAGTATCAAACTGTGTTAGTGAATATAGCAGAGGAAAAGATTAATGATGCATGACAAATGTGCTGTATTATCGATTCAAAACGTAATAAGTCAGAAGAACACTATCTGTTTTTCAGGTGGTTATCTGGTTACTAGTCGTTTTGGTTAGTCATGTCTACATGTATGTATGTTTATCTGTCGCACAGAGCGACAAATAAAATGTGGTTATATATGTGTGTCTGCAGTATGTGATGTCATACAGCCAGGAAAATATGACCCTAGATGTATTCTACAATGGAGAATCAGAAAATAAGTGTGCGCGACCTCTAGGATTGATTCTATTGTTCGGAACGTTAATCAGAACATGGTTGGATGAAAATGATGTGCAAGAGGTATTCGACTATGTGGAATAAGGAAATGGCTATGTGTATGCCACGGAGAAACATCTGCGTGACTGGTGGGAGTACACACATACATTTGAGCACTGTGTTGCGGACGTAGATACACAGGTATTGTGGGTGGATAGTCCTATATGGAACACTGATCGAAGGGAGGCTGGATCTTTGTTTTTAATTCGAAGTCATTGAAGGTCGTTCGCAGATATAAGTTTCTAACGTCAAGCTAGAGTCACCCTGAGTATATGTGCAGGGAGTGATCAGCACTGTGAAAAACCGTCACGTTGCAACCGAGCGTTACTTATGACCGATAGTACAATAAAAAGTAGAACACTAGCTGAACAGCTCCGTGACTTCGTCAGAGAATCAACGGGCTAGCAGGCCTTACTTGGTTCAACTTGACAGGATGAAATAATATGGAATAGCATTCGACCACGAGGAATCAGAAAATGGCTATGAACGACCTCTGGCACCAATTCTGTTGGCCGAAAATTTCATCTCAGCTTGGTAAGATGAAAATGGTATTCCCTTAACTGTAAAGGGAAGAGTCTTATCGAGCTAAAGTGTACAACAAATTGGTAAATTCTATTGGGGTATGTAAGTGTCGTTCAGGACAGAATAGAACTTCAGGTTAGTAATTACGTGAGCAAGGGAAAGCATCATACCAGTGAGGTGTGTAGTCAAAATAGCTTCAGCTCATGGTAAGTGATCATTAAGAAGAAACTGCTTCGATCAGAAGAAAGTTCGGCCCATTAACGCATGCGCATCGAAGCAAGCGCCGAAGACGCGCAGCGAGACAAGCATTGTGTAAATTGTTGCGCAATGGTTCTCGTTTTATCAAGCTTTTAGCTTCTTACAGTAGCTTTCCACCGATTTCTCTTTGTCGGCCTCGATTTTCCTTAGTTTCCCTTCAAAATCTCTAGTTTCCTTTGGTTTGATTGCACTTTTCTTCGGTTCCGTTGCAGCTTCTCTTAGTTTCCCATCATGTCCCTCAGTTTCCCAGTAGTTTTCTAAACTCAGACGCAGGCAAACGAAAACCTCACATGGACACATTACTTAACCCTGTGTGTAGACACAAGTTATTAGCGGATAGACAAACAGACACGTCAAGACATAATAGGCATGTGATCAGAAATAAGAATTGGGGATGTGCCTCATTTACCTCTTGCCTTGCAAGAACAACGATGGTCGTCAGAACTGTCGTAGTACTTGCTTCCTGTTGCTTGTTGAGAATGTTCTTCAAAATGTAATGTGAACAAGAAAGATAATTATTCTGTTCTATAGAAACAATTTGATAATGAAGATTCTTTTCCAGTCAAGAGTTAAATGAGTCAGAATGATGAACGCTACTTGTGCTTTTAGAGCTCAGTCTATGGGGAGGTTACGGAGAGGTTTTGGATTAAAACTTTTAGCGGTTTTATATATATAATTTGTGTTTGCCATGTGCTAAAAATCTTCACTAGATCATCAATCATTTGCTGTGGCGATGGGTCTTCAGAGATAAAGTTTTTAGAGATGGAAGCCAATGTTTCTGACAAGCCATGGAATAAGTTAAAACTTGTGTTATATGCAGTTCTAAAGCTCTAACGCAATATTTTCATTTTTTGCAATGGTTGATAACTTCTGTGAAGAGTAATGGCAGTCATTCACGGGAAGAATCCGGCGCAGCATTTTCGTGTACTCCTCTTTCCGTATCCATATCAATTAGCTTCGAAGTTTCTTGTTCTGACTCTATTTCCGCGGGGTTGGCCGCATCAGTGTAGTCATGCCAACGTTCAGTTTTAAGGAAGAAATATTGTCTCAGAAAGCGAAGCTTTCGGAGCTGTAACAGCGTGGTGAAATCAACGGTCTCCAGTTGGGTGGATATGTTTATAAGCACAGTTTCCGGGAGAAAGCTATGGAGAAATAGAGAGGCAGTGTGAAAGATGGATCTTCGTCTATCGTGCCTGACGGCTGTTTGTGAAAAAGCTCATGGAAGGTGCGTAGATTTATCTGTCGGCCTTCAAAATTTTTAACCCCTGAACTTGTGAGCAAGGTGGCGCTCTTTAAATTATAAGTTGCTCATTTTTGTGATGAACAAGAATCCGATTCCAAATGAAAAATGGCGCTATGTGGCTGACATATCTGCAAAATGATTGGCGACGATGCAGAAGAGAAAATGAGTAACAAAAAAGGGAAACAAGAAGACTGATTGCAGTGACAATACATAAACAAATTGGCTCGGTACTGTAAAGAATTTGTTCAGTTCATAATCTGTACGAGTAGGCGAATGTTCCGAGCTTTAGCGGGTCGATTCTTTGACTTTTTGCGCATAATGACTAAGATGCACATGTGGCATTTTCCTTTTAGAAAAATGCAATGAAGAAAACTTTTACATGACATTCGGTGCAACCTTTTACGGCGAACAAAATTGTCTATCGCTGAATTATCAAGTACACTACGGACACCACTTTCTTGAATATTATTGTAAAAAAGGTAACCTTTTCAACATAGTCGACGATAATACATATATATATATTTCTATTTGCATACCGCGTTAGCTTACGGTCTACATTTATATCAACTTTGTTCAGCTTCTTCTTCTTCTACTATTGATCGCTGCTATTGATAATAATTGGCGGTCGTTGCTGGTGCTATTTCAATCATTGAACCATTGGCTTGTGGAATCAAATTGGATAGAGATCTGACTGGAGCTTGTGTAGTGACCAGAGATCAGTCGGATCAGGCCGAACCGAACTTAGAATCTTTAAGCATGCGTGGATTTGTAATTTATGTGTATACTGGGTACCGAGAAATCATAAAAATATAAATATTAGCTTGAGAAATACATTTACAATACTTAGTCAGCAAAAGCATTACAGATGCAAGAAGAAAATTACACAACGTGATCGTACCGGAACATAAAAGTTTCACGATTGGCGGGCCAGGCCAGATAAATTCTGCGTTTAGCCGGGCCGAGCCGCGCTTGGTCCAGAAACTTGCATCAGCCGGGCTAGGCCGGGCCAAAAATTTTCGGCCCGTGCGTATCTCTGGTAGTGATCAGTGGTGAAGGTGATGCTTAGTTTTGAGCAAACGACGATCGACTGAATATCACTCCTTGCAATTGATGGTAATTCATCAACTATCGGCTGTTGATAGATTATTTCATCATCAATGTCCATTTCTTCTTCTTCATCAAAACCTACCTCTCTTTCTGTCTCCTCCTCTTCGGTCCCATCCACTTGCTGATATTGGTGAACATCTTCATTATTCAGGTCTGAGTGCGCTGACAGAACTATATTACATTCAATGAGGGTTACATATACAGGAAGCAAATAGTCATAGTAGTCATAATGCTTCACTAATAACTCTATGAAGAGATTAGTTTGAAAAGATGTGCTATATATCATTCTAAAGCCCCTTTAATTACGCATGTTTTCGTGTATATGATTCTATTAAGAATGTCGAACTTGCAGAGAAAAATGAATAAATACGATCGAACAGGCTCTTTGAAATGATGCTCAGAATCGGTTTCTTATAACTGATGACACTGATAAAAAAAGCATATATACTCAAGTAGAGGAATCGTTCTGTTTCAGATAAACTTATCGTCTAATTTCATAAACACAGTTATTGAGAATACATTGAAAAGAATTATCTTAAATAAACTATTAGTGACTGAAGAACATCTATTCGATTGCATATCATCATGTATTATCGTTTCTAAACAATGCTGAATATTAAAATAATCTGAAACAGTTAACCTTCTATCAACTGGTTGTTTTAAAAACTCTCTTGGATATTCACTATTTAGTGCTTCAATATATATTTCATACACATTTAAGTTCAACTGAGCGCTTGTGGGTAAATAGTTAATTGACGAAACATCAACATTAATTTGATGATGAAAGTTAACGATATCATTCCATTTGAATGCTCCGCCACCGGCATAACTTGAACTTTCAAATAGATCACTGTCATTATCATCGTATCCTCCGCCAATGCCATAGATCATTTTAAAATTTGAAGCAAATTTTAATTTGGATAAAAACAGACTACAAGCACTACCACAAGTACCATCTGTTAAAACATAGATTGATTTGAAATATTTTATTTTATTTCCATGTTTAATCCAAAACTTTCCCATACCAAATGCGTCTCCATCACAATTAAT